AACGCCGTACCGATCCAGCTGGCCTTCCTTTTCCGACCAAAAACTGAAATTCAAAGAAGAGATTAGGAATATCCAGTTCAGACATGCACCCGTGAGTACATCGTCTGGGTCATACGGCTCTGGCGGGCAAATATGCAAGGGGTGAGTGCGCCATGTACGCGGAGTATAGGACTCGGAAGCGACTTTTTGCAAAATCTGTGTGGGTCAGTCAGATGCGCGGCGTCCTCAAGCTATATCAGAGCCTGGACTGACGTATTGTGTGGCTTTTTTGACCGCGTCATCGTTGATTTTGACGATCTTTGTTTGCTGGTGGTGAAAGTCAACATTGGTTGAAATGGGCTTCACTCGGACTACGTCATGAAAACTTACTTCGAGAACAAACTCGGCACTAGAGACGACTGGGTTGGTTGCGTGTACTTCAGGCGAAGACTCTCCGATATGTTTTTCGTCGAAGACAGGAGAAGTAGATGTTTTGTCGGGAGCAGAGAACATGATGGTGGTAGTTGTCCAAGCGAGGTTTAACGTTACAAGCGAGAGCAGGCTAATAAAAGGTCGAAGCCTTTAAGCGTCGCTTCCGTAGTTTTCCGTCCACTGAAAAAATGCTGAGTCGGCGGGGCTATACTATCTGTATTGCGATTGAAAGGGGGTGTCCAGTTCAAGTTTAGAACTTAAATTGGAATTGAGTTAGCCTTTATGACAGCGCCACAAAGCTTCTTATAAATGCCCCGAGCTGCCATAATCAAGACCTTAGGACGAGATTTTGTACCCTGGTACATTCTTTCCAGGATCCAAGTTTTTCGAAAGTGAGTCAGAATTGATCTGGTCATGTTTTCGGACGATTCAAACGGAACACCCATTTCAAGATAAATACATATGCCTGAAGCAGTTGAGCGTGAGTTGGAACATTCGGGAGATCTCGTATATTACTGATTTTACTTTAACAATGGGAACATAAATCCCCATCGGTAAATATATTGTCTCGGATGTCCTACTGTACGGACCGCATGTACGGTGACGGATGATATAGTTCGAGTCGTAGTATAGAGTAAGTGACACAACGAAAATATCAGTCCGAAGTCGAGCCTCGGCGTTTCGTCGGAATGGTTTCTTCACCTCGCAACAATCGTTCCCCTTGCTCCGTGGTGGCTGTGTTACCAAGACCCTGTAGACAGATAAATAGAGGACAATAGAAGATGAGCAGGTGGCTGACCTTTCCGCGGATGACCTGGGTGCAAGTAGGCAAGGCAATTAATGAGTAACAAATGACAAGCGATGTATATCGCAGCATCATACCTTGGCATAACCTACCGGGGCGTGAGTTCGTATGTCCGAATTGTATGAGAGACACTCACCAAATACTTGTTGTTTGAAGGAAGGGGGAGGCTTTTTCTCTGCAGGGATCTCTACCACGTTTATATTGGGGTCATTGCGATCGACCTCGGAGGGATCGCGAATTTGGTCCGCGGGAATATGGGCGCCGTCACCAGGTGAAGTGGAAGCTAAGTGTATTAGTAGGTCTAAGCGAGGTTGATCGAATGAGATTAGTACCTTGTTGTGGTGCGGTGTTGACTTTGGTCGGTTCAACGACCTTTGAAGGAGGACGGGGTGCGATATTGTCTTTGGGGGGAGAGGACATGATGATATGGCGGAGTGGATTCGAATTGTGGATAGCTTTATAGTAGTTGAAATGACATCATCGTTCGTGATTATGTAACACGGCGTAGGTTGCTCAACCTTGGAGATTCGGGCAGCTATATGTAGTTGTCTCATGTTTCCGGGTGGGCGTAAAGGTAATCACATAAAAAGGAGGTTTTGGCGCAATGACCAGGCCTAGTTAAGGTGGACCTCCAATGATCTATAACCGTAAAAATATTGTTAGCAGGTTTCGAACCAACTTCAAGGGAAACAGATTTCGACTCTGTTGTAGTAACCACATGGCTAAGACCGGTTAGATGAACCTCTGAGTATTGTATCCATGAGTGAGTGTCGAGGTGTGTCCGCATAGAAAAAGCCTCATTCGTCGGCAAGTTTCGAACTTGCCTGAAACAGATTTTAATTCTGTTGCGGTAACCACATGGCCAAGACCAACTGGATAAGGCTCTAAGGACACTATCCATAAGTGAATGTTAAGGTGCATTCCAATAGGAAAAACCCCGAATCGTCGGCAGGTTTCGAACCTGCCTAATCCATGAGAAACAGATTTTAATTCTGTTGTTTTAACCGCAAGGCTAAGACCAACTGGATGAACTTCTAAGGACACTTTCCATGAGTGACTGTCAAGGTGTGTTCCGATAGAAAAAGGCTTACCATCGGCAGGTTTCGAACCTGCCTAATCCAAGAGAAACAGGTTTTAATACTGTTGTGGTAACCACATGCATATGGATAAGACCAACTAGATGAGGAAAGCATCCATGAGTGAATGTCAAGGTGTGTTCGATAGAAAAAAGCATACCGTCGGCGGGTTTCGAACCTGCTTGATCAATGATAAACAGATTTGAATTCTGTTGTGGTAACCACATGGATAAGACGAACTGAATGACCCACTGAGGACACTATCCATGAGCGAATTGTAAGGATTGAACACTTCCTACGCACGGATCAAGCCCTAATCAAAGAGCTTGAATCCAAAACGGTCTATACCAGTCACGTGACTACCAACGCTCCTTGTATCCGAATTTACGTAGAAAACACTCCTTTATCTCTCGCCTCAGTCTCCTTTTCGTTATCTTACTTTGACCTCGCCGCTCATTATCCCCTTCCTTACCGAACTATTTTCACAAACTTACACGCTATCCACATCCGCTTTCGGACTAGTACGACTCCCTCGAATCACTTATATACCGCGCCTGTACATACAGCACAGTCAGTGAAAATCCCACAGAGAGATTCCCCATCCAAGCACGACCAAAAGTCCCTCGGAGAAAGCGTCTCTACTCAGATCGATTTACATTCTCGCTCTTGCCCAAAAGCCCACCTTGAATCGTGTTTCGTATAGTTCACAATTCCCTATCGAACTCATTCCCAGCCTTACAGAATGTCGAGGTGTATTCCAACATAAAAAACAATCGTAGACAGGTTTCGAACCGGTCTAATCGATGAGAAACAGATTTCAATTCTGTTGTGGTAATCATGTGCCTAAGACCCACTGGATGAACCTCTGAGGACACTATCCATGAGTAAATGACAAGGTATGTTCCGATAGCAAAAAGGTTCTCATTAGGGTTCGGGATAAAATTAATTGACGAATTATTAGCCTGCTTTTTAGCCAGGTGGCTCTTGGGGAGTTATTAACTAGCGGATTATTAGCCGCTTTTTAGCCAGTCACGTGACGTTGTTTTTAGCAGGTAACAAGATAACTAATGACCCAAGCTAATCAGCCAGCGGCTCATTTCCATACTTCCGGCCACTCGTTATCGACGTTGTCATTCCCCTCGATCTCCTCAGCCTTGGCTTTTCCCTTCCCTTTGTGTGTGCCACCAGGACTTGCCTCTGCCAATACCGCCAACAAACCCTCTGCGCTCATGTCTATCTCGGATTCGACATCGAAGTCAGCATCATTGCGTGTGGTGGAACTCTCTTCTGCATTGTCCAACCAAGAACTGGACTCGTCATCTTCGATTTCTTCATCTCCCCCAGCACTTTCAGTCGACAGCAAGCTGTTCCTTGTATCGTGGTGCCGTTTGCCCACTTTCGCTCCAGACCCAAACAGTTGGGCGTCGAGGTCATAAAAGTTGATGGTTGGACGCTCTGGATGTTTGGACTAAGCTTGTGTGAGTATGAGCCAAAATAACTTGGGGGTTTACTTACAGCAGAATCGTACATGTACCACTGCCGGATCTGTGTCATGTTCACAAGTGTACTAACATTTTGACGATTTCGCAGCGCAGAATTCATCCGCGTGAATACCGACATGGTACGCTCTTCTGGCATCGAGCTTGGTCGGACGGAAAACACCTTGATAGCGAGGGTCTTTACCGGAGTGAGTGAACCAGATTGTGTATACAACAAATAGACTGACCGCAAGGATATTTCCCTCAGGAATTCTTGTTAAGTGCGTCCACCATGACAGTGTTGATTGACCATCTCCAAGGGGGGTATCAAATGGATACTGACCACGTGCGTAACGTTCAAATTGCCGAAGGAATGATTGCTGAGCCTCACGACCAGTTAGTTTTTTGAGAATCACGTTCTCTTTTGACTTCCACTCCCCCTCAAGAAGAACCTTCAAGAACACGAGTACGCGACTGAAGACTGCGTAGTTTTGGATGGGAGGACCGGATGATTCAGAAGACATAGTCTTCGCACTTTGTGCAGGAAGCACGAATGTGAGGGCGAGAGGGTTCAAGTTCTTTTGAAATAGTTTGCTATTGACATAACCTGTAATACTTATTAACATCGCAACCGAGACAGTATTGCTTTGCTTACGAGGGTGCAAATAGAGAGCAGAGATGGGAGCATCAGTTGGACCCTCAGACAAGGCTTCACGGAATCGAGAGTTGAAGATTGCACGAATCTGACCAGACTCTTCTGACGAGAACGGATTGTTGTCACTGTCGAAGATTTGTTTTAGTGTAGCTCCTATTGCAAAGTAGTACAAGCCAATGTCCGACAAATCTGTCTGTGATGACTCGAGACAAGCAATTGCCTTGAACGCGCGGGCCAAGGGCTTGCACCAATAAGAAAATTAGAAATAATTATATAGTAACTAGTTCATTGTATGTCATTAGAATTTAGCCTCCCAACACGATTCCTGACCTGATTGACGGTGTACCTCTGATATGTCACACACAGGTAGCCATCAGGAATTCTTAGCATTATTAGCATAGTGATTTCTAGGATCGAATTATTAGCGTGTTATTAGCAGGCTAATAACTCGCTAATTAGCACCCGGTTAATAAACAACGAGTTTTCTCCCGAACCCTAGTTCTCATCCGTAGGTTTCGAACCTGCGCAGACCAAATGAAGCAGATTTCGAGTCTGCTAACCACTTAGCTAACACCATTGGAAATAAATACTCGAGGAACTATCCATGGGTGAATCATGAAGGCGTGTTCGATAGTCAGCAGGTTCGACGAATTTTGATTCTGTCGCGACTGCGCAGTTTAAGATGGACCTCCGAGGAAATCATCCATGAGTAAATCTTCAAGGCCGCCGTGTTTCGATAGAAAAAAAAGTTGTCGTCGGTAGGTTTCGAACCTGCGCTGGCAAAGTCAAAGAGACAGATTTAGATTCTCTTATGGGTCACTCAATTTGGCTAGGATGAATTGAGTTAATCACCGGGGAAACCGTCATCAGCGAATTTTAAGGCATATCCTGATAGGAAAAAAGAACTTGGTGTCAGCTGGTTTTGATCAATCCAAGTGACCCAAGTGAAACAGATTTTGACTCTGTGATCACCACTCGGGTAAGATTAAATAACATTAACCTTCGACGAATTCATCCATGACTGAATCTAAGACCATTTAAGATGGACCTCCGAGGAAACCATCCGAATCTTCAAGGCCGCCGTATTCCGACCAAAAGGAAATGTTGTCACCAGTAGGTTTCGAACCTGCACTGGTACAGTTCAAGAGACAGATTTAGATTCTGTTGTGGGTACCATTTTAGCCAGGACGAAGGCGAGGTGAGGTTCCGAGGAAATCATCCATGAGTACATCTTCAAGGCGTATTCTGATGGGAAAAAAACAACCTCTTGTAGGAAGGTTTGGAACCTGCGCGACCCAAGAGAAACAGATTTTCATTCTGTTGTGATCACTACTTGGCTAAGACCCTTGAAGATGAGCCTCCGATCTATGAATGAATGTCAAGGTGGTTTCTGTTAGAAAAAAACCTTGTCGCCGGCAGGTTTCGAACTTGCGCAATCTAGGAGAGACAGATTTGTATTCTGTTTTGATCAGCACTCCATGGCTAAGACTAGTTAGGATGAGCTTCCGACGAAACCATGCATGAGTGAATGTCAAGGTAGTTCCTGATAGAAAAAAAACCTTGTCGCCGGTTTCGAACCAGCTGCGCAATCCAAGAGAAACTGATTTTTATTCTGTTTTGATCACCTCTTGGATAAGACCGGTTAAGATGAGCGTCCGACGAAACCATGCATGGGTGAATGTCAAAGTGGTTTCTGATAGCAAAAAAGCTTTGTCGCCGGCATGTTTCGAACTTGCGAAATCCAAGGGAAACAGATTTTCATTCTGTTTTGATCACCTCTTGGGTAAGAACGGTTAATATGAGCTACTGACAAAACCATGCATGAGTGAATGTCAAGGTGGTTCCTGACAGCAAAAAACCATGTTAGCAGCAAGTTTCGAACATGCACAATCCAAGAGAAACAGATTTTGATTCTGTTGTGATAAACACTTGGCTAAGATCACTTATATTTGGAGACCCTCCGACGAAATGATCGACGAGTGAATGCCGAGTTGTGTTGTGATAGAAGGAAAAAATTTCATCGGCAGATTTCGAACCTGCGCAGTTCCATAGAAACAGATTTCCATTCTGTTGTGGTTACCACTTCGGCCAGGGTGTTTTGCAAGTGGAGATGAACCTTCGAAGACATCGTGAAAATCCCAAATATTTCTGTAGACAGTGATGATATTGGCATGATATATCACGTTTGATTGAAAACACTCACCACCCCATAGAGGATCAGTCTCACCCATGAGGGTCCGTTGGTAATTCGTCGTCAACCCAATCAGCGAGGTCTGACAAAGAAATTTCCTCACTAGCACGATTTACAGACTATCTATGGTATAGGACATGGGCAACCGCGGAGTGAAGCACAATGAGCGTTGAATTGGGATGCTGAATTTGAATGCCAGTTTGAGAGTGACCCTGGAATTGGATTTGTGTGAGATTCTCCAAACCAAAAGGGATACGATGGAACAGGGTACTGTATATTTGTGCGAGACATCCTTTCAAAGGCATAAGTTCACGATAAAAAACCAACCGTACTGTGGGGTGTAGACACTATGCGTAGCTGTCAAAGTAAATGTGCAGTGCCGCCTCAAGTAACATTCCGTTCTCCGGGTTATTGATGACGCACCATCAATAACCCGGAGAATGGAATGTGATATCGATTGTTCCCGCGATGC